CCTTTGGACATGGCCTGCTTGGGGATTGGAAATTGAGCCCAATCGTTGGCTGGATGGTGATTGGGGACACCGTAGATGAAGAAGGCATAGGGGGTGGTCGTCGATTGAATTCTGGAAGCAAATTTTGAGCCCTATTTTGCGCAGCATTGCACAGCTCCCACGAACAATTGACAGTTGGAAGAGCAACCAAATGCCTATCCCCAAATTTATTAATCTCATAAGCATGCCCTCATTTTTTTCAAAAAAAAAAAAAAATGGTAAAGTTATTATTTTACAATATTATATAATTTATAATATATTATATTTAATTTTAAAAAAATGGAGATTTAATAATCCATAAACTTGTTTTAATAATGAAAAGGCAGAGTATTAACATTATATATTCATGTTATCTTGGGGTTCTAATTTTCTACCTATTATTTAATTTTATTTATTTATTTTTTTGGTATATTACCTTTGAAGTTATATATTCACGATACCTTTAAAATATTTCTGTTATATTATAGTTTTAATTTTTCTATTTTCTAATATGACTTTTGATTGGTGTTCTCTTTAGTCTTAATTACAGTTTTAAATTTTAGCTTCTTTCTCATATTTTAATTACAGGTAAAACAATAAGACGAATACGCCCACTCTTGTAAAGAGAGAAAATTGGAACCCTAATTAAAATAAGGCCATGGGTAAATAATAAAAAGAAAAACACGCACAAAATTATTTTTTCCCCTGAATTAAAATTTGGCAACGGAGAAAGATTTGTCCATTTCTAATGAATTTTGCTTTGAAATTATGATAACGGAGATTACGATGTGTTGTAGGAAGCAATACAGTCCAAACAATGAATGAGAATCGGATCGGGAAGGAGAAGGAAGAGCCCCGAAGCTACTACCAACCGGGGCCGGTGCATGGTTCTGGGCCGACCCACTCAACGGCCGACCTGAGCTCGGCGTTGAGGTGTTCTCGGCTACGAGTCGAGAACACCTCTCAACTTCTCTCTTGGTCCCTGTTCCGACCGACTTGTGTTTGAAGAACCTCGACCCTGTTCTAATGTTGGAGCCAGCAACGAAGCATCCCACGGTCCAAGAAGTCCAATGAGGTGAATGACCTAGGGTTCGAATAATGAAATCGTAGGAGGGAGAAAAAACTATAAATAAGAAAAGGGGTCACACCTAAAAGGTACGCCTGATACCCTCTACTCTCCTCCTACTCTCCTCACTCGACTTCCTCGATACTAACTTAAGCATCGGAGTCCGTGTGGCCAAAGTCCGGCCAAAGTCACACCGGTCCTAGTGCTATTCTGTTTTGCAGGTCTTATCGATCCTTTTATTCTAGAAGATTAGTGCGTGAGATTTCAGGGGCCAAATTATTTCTGATTGGAGAGAAGTTGAAGAGAAATAAGTGGAAGGATTCTCACTTTGTTCTTTAAATTTTTTTTTATTGGATTTAATAACGAGTAAATTGTAAGGTCAAAAGAGACGTATTAAAACTGTTAAATGGTAAAATGGGAAGAGAAAGATTCTCTTCCATAATTTCTTTTATATATATGTAAGATAAGATTTTATTTAGTTTTTTTTTCATTTACTATTTTGGTTTGATTTTTTTTTCCACCTCAATTTTTGTATATTGTCTACTGGTTAGCCTCTATTTGATGGAGAGAAACATTTAAGAAAACCTAACTTTAGATAATAAATAATTTATTATCATCTATTGACTTGTCATATTTTTTATTCAACTACATTTATTAATGAAATAAATAATATTTGAACCAACATATTTATTTACATTATATATTTAGAATGTTTATAAGAGATCACATCAGCTAGACAATCCACCTGACACAATTGGTTATATGGAAGAGCGGTAACTGATGCCTGCCTCCATCTCGAGGTGTAATAAAACTTCGTGAACCACATGGTATGCCAACGACACATCTAGAAGTGCACTTGTGGCAGGCTGCTGCAGGATAGATGTTGTCAAGGTAGGGCAATATCTTATTTGTATAGCGACTTATGCAGTAATAACCACACATGGTGAAGTTTAAAGGATGATAATAGATCACCGCACCACGTGGTTGCTCATGCTATTAGAGTGCCACTCACTAACGCCACATGTGGTCTAGCGTGAAAATTAGCAAGAGTAGGAATTTCTCTTACAAAATTTGGAGCAATATTCGTTAAAAGGTAAGCAATCCTCCCCCACTCAAGTCCTATTATGAGCTAGTTTAATACTATATCTTAGATCCTGTTTACTTACTAGAAATCGGAATGGAAATAAATCGAAAACTATCTGGAATTGAAATAGAAATCAGATATATAAGAGTTACTAGTATACTCCTTTATTTTTCTAGTCACTTATAAATACATTAGTGTGGTAATATTTTTTTTAATTAAAATAATAATAGATTTTAATTTATTTCTATTACTAGTACAATTTTATTACTATTTTATCGATAGTAAATATTTTTTATTATAACAATTTATTTAATATTAATAAATAATAAATAATTAAAATAAAATTACATCAACTAAAATAATTTCTTATTAGAACAATCACCATTTAATAATAGCAGTAATTGACATATATTTACAACCAAGAAGTTATGAGTTCGATCTTTCACCTCATATGTTGTACCAAAAGAAATAAAAATAAAAAGACCACTGACTCTTGGGTAATAAAAAAAATTAATAGATGAGAGAGAAATGGTAAAAAGTTGTAATATTAATTATAATAAATGGGTGAACCCCATGGAATAAAAAATGAGAATAAAATTGATGAGGTTGTAATAGAGTAATGAAATTACCCATTTGAGGGGAAGTAATTATCAAGTTTGGGTTAAGTCCCGCCATTTGATTTCATCTCTACAATTTGGTAAACATCATAATTTTTTTTTTGTCATTTCCTGGGAGTAAAGATGACTTTAAGCTTAGCTTAGAATTATATTGGTGTGTATTCCAAAAAATCTACTGTGACAACTGCACTAAAGAGCCGTAACTATAACGGTGAAAAGAGGTTAAAGACACAGTGAAATAAATATTTGTAATTAGTTAAAATTAATTAAAATTAAATTTCACAATTATAAAATTCCCGACAAATTTAGTTTTACACAAATCTAGACTGTTACATAAACAAAAGTCCTCTTGGAGGCACCCCATCCATATACTTGTTATTGCTTTATTTTACATTTGGTATACTCTTTCTTGTCGTATAAAATGTATGAGTGGCCCATGTGATCCCATACAAAAGAGATACTACTGAACTAAAGAGTTAAGTTTGTACTTAGAGAAACGCTGAGAATGTTTGTGTTTTCTTGAGTTCAAATAAAGGGTAGAGTGTGGATTTCAACTTATAATATATAGATTAAACTGCTAATGTCTTAACTATACTCAAGTAGTTCGAAACTTGGAAGTCTTTTTTTTCTTATTTTTTTAAAAAAATTAATATCACTGTTCCTTGTCTTTATTATAAGAAAGAAAGTCCATACTTCGCTA